CTTTTAATAGTATCTATGTAATTCAACTATGCAAATAAATATGTAAATTATTATTGTCCCCAAACAATTTGCAAATAATCTTTAGATCCCTTGTAAAATATCATTCAACTGCTTTTAGTAAGGCAAAAATTTTGTATTGAAAAGGATGAAATAATAATTATATTGTGCAAATCCATAATAAAATAGTAAAACATTGATCTCTTTTAAAGTTTTTTATAATATAGATAAGATTGTGAGTTTGTTGTTGTTCAAGTAGGATAGTTTAAATAATAAAATGCTTGTATTTGATTCAAGGTTAGTAGATGATTATCATTGTGTGATATACTATTTTCAAATATGATAAGTCAAAATATTTGATTAAGATTTTTATAAGTAGAAAAATTCTTAATAAAATAAAATGAGTCTATTAAATATGTCAAATCCAAATAATTTAAGTTTGACAATCAACCAAGCTTAAGATAACATGAGTCTGATAAACATGTTTGACCTAAGAATTTAGACTTGATAGTCAGCCAAATCCGAAAAACGTGAATTTAGCAAACATGTTAGGCTCATATTACTTAGGTTTGGATGTCAGCAAAGCTCAAGGTAACATAGGTCTGGAAAATATATTAGATTCAAAGAATTTAAACTTAATAATTAGCTTGGTATTGACAATCAATCAAGTCTAAAAAACTCATATCTAGCAAATATATCAGACCTAAAACATTTATATTCTAAGGCTAAGTGACTGATCCTAGATAATCCCTTAAAATAAAAGCATTGATCAAAAGCATGATAAATTATCATGCATTTCCATCTAGAATAATTAATTGTATTAATATAATGGTTGTTCTATAATCATGAGTGTATACAAGGTCTTTTAAGATATCTACTATATTTATTGTCTCATTAATACATATAAGAGATATTTGTTTTTTAATAATGCCATAAAAAACAAAGGATTTTTTGGTCATTCTTTCTTTTAAAACGACAAAGTTCAAAAGGTATAAATTCCTCCTAAACCATCTAGGTAAAGATTTAGAATTTTTTATCTCATAATATAAATCCTTATAGATTTATGAGCATTAATCCACTTAAAATTCAAGAACAAAAATCTTTGATCCTTAAATTTAAAGCTCTTAAAATTCAAGAACAAAAATATTTAATTTTTAAATTTAAAACTCTTTTAAGTTATTTATTATCTTAAAATATTTAATATCTTTTTCGTATATAATAAATTTATTATCTAATGGTCTTTAAGTCTCCTTGATTGGAATTATTTTTTCAATAAAGTTAATTCCAAAAAATAAAATTTAAAAAATAAAATTAATTTGAAAAACACAAGAAAAAAAAACCAAGTCAATCCAGATTCACTCTGCTAGCCTACCACCTGTGACATGAAATTGAGATAATAATTTTTTTTTTTAAAATGACTTAGAAACAAAGAAACAAAGTTAAATAAATAAATAAAACATTAAAAAAAAACCCAGGTTACTGAGGGTTAACCTAATGAATCTACAACTTGGAATAATCCTATAGAAAGAACAGACATAAAAAATAAGAAATCCAAGACACAATAGCCTAATATCAAATAATAAAATTAAAAAATATTGAAAAAAATCCAAAGTAACCCGAGTTAACCTGCGACCAAGGATAACCTAGAGGAAGGAAGGGAAAAAAAAAAAGAAACTCAAAATCCAATAACCTAATGTTAAATGATCAAATTAAAAAAAAAAAAAACAAATCGAACTAATCTTCAAAACTAGCAACCTTGTTTATGTGAATGAGATTTGCAAAAGAAAAAAAAATCTTGAACAAAATTATTAACCATAAAAAAATAAAAAGATAAAAAATAGTAATTAAAAGAATAAGAACAAAAATTTAATAAAAAAATAAAATAAAATATTGAGGGACAAAATTGAAAGAGAAAAAAATAAAAAAATAAAAAAAAGTGATTAAAAGAATGTGAATTGAAATTGGATTAAAAAAATGTAATAAATTATTGAGGGACAATTTGGAAGAAAACAAATAAAGACCAAATCTAGAAAAAAATATGAAGGGATAAAATTAAAAGAAAAAAAAAATAAAGAAAAGGATAAAAAAACAACAATCAAAATAATGAGTACCTTATTTGATATAAACACAAAATAAAATAAAATAAAATCAAATGAGAATGTATGAAATTAAAGAAAAAAAAACAATCTGAAAAACAATTCAAAATATACAAAGACCAATCAAAAGAAAGAAAGATCATAATTGAAAGACAACATGAAGTACAGGATAACCTTATTTTTTTGGCAGACTTGACATGAATTTCAAGAAGAATTGAGAGAAAATAGAAGGAGAAGAACAAAAAAGTTAACCACCGTGATTTAAATTAAACAGGCCACCTTAGCATTTTCGTTTTCATTGGGTAATTCAATTAACACGACAATTAGGAGATTTTAGTTGTCACACACGCCACCCGAAAGGTGCTAGTGGCGTCCATTTACTAGCATGTTCTCTTTATGCTCTAGAAACTTGTCATGCTGTAGAAACTTTTTTATTATTTTATTTAAGAAATACTAATTTTTCCCTAATCCATATAAAGTATAGTAAAAAAAAAAAACCCCTTTGACTTATCCTTTATTTTAATTTTACTTTAAAGACAATGAAATAATTGTACTATTTGTAAAAAAAAAACAAGAAGAGGAAATCATGCAAAAGCCTTTTTAGCCTTTTATTTTTTTATTTTTTGCCTTTTAATAATATTTATGTAATTCAACTATGCAAATAAATATGTAAATTATTATTGTCCCCAGACAATTTGCAAATAATCTTTAGATCGTTTGTAAAATATCATTCAATCGCTCTTTGTAAGGCAAAAACTTTGTATTGAAAAGGGTGATATAATAATTATATTGTACAAATCCATAATAAAATAGTAAAACATTGATCTCTTTTAAAGTTTTTTATAATATAGATAAGGTTGCAAGTTTGTTGTTGTTCGAGTAGGATAGTTTAAATAATAAAATGCTTGTATTTGATTCAAGGTTAATAGATAATTATCATCGTGTGATATACTATTTTCAAATATGGTAAGTCAAAATATTTGGTTAAGATTTTTATAAGTAGAAAAATTCTTAATAAAATAAAATGAGTCTATTAAATATATCAAACCCAAATAATTTAAGTTTGACAGTCAACCAAGCTTAAGATAGCATGAGTCTGATAAACATGTTTGACCTAAGAATTTAGACTTGATAGTCAGCCAAATCCGAAAAACGTGAATTTAGCAAACATGTTAGGCTCATATAACTTAGGTTCGGATGTCAACAAAGCCCAAGGTAACATAAGTTTGGAAAACATGTTAGATTCAAAGAATTTAAACTTGATAATTAGCTTGGTATTGACAATCAGTCAAGCCTAAAAAACTCATGTCTAACAAATATATCAAATCTAAAGCATTTATATTCAACTATCACCAAATTTTAAGGCTATATGTCTGATCCTAGATAATATTTTAAAATAAAAGCATTGATCAAAAGCATGATAAATTATCTTGCATTTCCATCTAGAATAATTAATTGTATTAATATAATGGTTGTTCTATGAGTATATACAAGATCTTTTAAGAGATCTAATATATTTATTGTCTCATTAATACATATAAGAGATATTTATTTTTTAATAATACCATCAAAAACAAAGAATTTTTTAGTTATTCTGTTTTTTAAAACGACAAGGTTCAAAAGGTATAAGTTCCTCCTGAACCATCTAAGTAAAGGCTTAGAATTTTTTATCTCATAATATAAACCCTTATAGATTTATGAGCATTAATCCACTTAAAATTCAAGAATAAAAATCTTTAATTCTTAAATTTAAAGCTTTTTTAATTCATTTATTATCTTAAAATATTTATTATCTTTTTCTTATATAATAAATTTATTATCTAATGGTTTTTAAGTCTCCTTGATTGGAATTATTTTTTTAATTACTTAAACTTTTAACATAATACTGAGATTTTTTAGACTAAAAAAAATTAAATATTTAAATATATTAATTAACCACCATCTCAAGCATTAAATAATATATTATTAATATATCTTGAATTTCAGTACATCATCAAAATATAAAGTTAGTAACATTTTATATACGAGGTTAGGTTAGATGATGTTCCAAGGTCACATGCCATTTCTAAATAATATCCATTAGACGACAGAATTACAACAGGGATTGTTTATCTCCGTTTTTATTCATTCGGCATGTAAACTAATTTGTGCCGGCATTTTATATATATATATATATATATATATATATATATATATATTTTTTTGTTTCCTTCAACCTTGTTATCAACTCAGGTTTTCCTATTTAGTGCATATTAGTATGGTCATCCAAAGACAACATGGTCCCCTTGTTTTTTTTACCTCTTTTGTAGTTTTTTTGTATTCTAAGTTTAGGTTGCTAGTTAGTGAATTTATTTATTTAATAACAAAATGAACAACTACCACCACAGGAAGAGTCTGGCCCGGTGCTTCCCTAATCCCTAGCGAATAACATGCTGCTCATGCAGTCTTTCAAATATCATCCTATTGGCCAAGAGCCTGTTATAGTCGGAACATTATTGCTAATATTGTGGTTATGATAACCTGGAAAGTTCCTATAAAATACAAATTGGCCCAGCAAATAGTATTCAATAAAAAACATCCTAATTCCCATGTCAGCCGAAGTGTTGAGTGTAAGAATTCACCTAGTTTTAAGATTTTTGGTTGTGGACCCGCTCCCACTTGCACCGCCTTAGGTCCTTTAACAAATCTTTGAGAAAAAATACGATATCTTTCAAATCAAAAGCAACAGCAAACTGAAAATTTAATCCCTGCGAAGAGACCGATGTTTTCTGCTCTCTCTACATCTGCGTCTCTCTTCCTGAGTTTTATGCTCGTGGATTGAGGAAATTAAGCTATTTATTATACATAGTAATTAAGGAAACAAAAATTGAAGGCAGTCGCCCCCAGCTCACGTCAGAGTAAGTGCTGCTTCCTTGCTGCTTGCAGGGGTCTCTCTCTTCATTCCTCAGCATGATTTATCTCTCAGCCATTTCTTTTTATGGCTGGTGGCCTTGTTTATCTAAACCCTTTCTCATACTATTCTCCTTCTCTTCACCCCCCTTAATCTCTCTCCCTCTCTCTCTCTATGAGCTTCATCATGGCAGAAAACCAAGAAAAAGTGAGCCCTTACATGCATCAACTCATTACCGATAGTTCTGTTACTCCCATTCGTAATTGCGTTCTTACGCTGAAAGCTTGCGAATGTTTTCATCCGTGTAATTGTTCATAATTTAGTTCTTTATGTTTTCAGGTCATGTGGCCAAGATTAGTATCTAAGAAGATTCTTGGAGAAAGATTGAGGAGCAACAACAACTTTGTGGCAGATTTTCCAAGCAACGCAGAATCCAGCAGCTTGCTGGATATTTCAAGCTTGAGTCCGCCATCTTTGAGCGAGAACAACATCCTCAATCAGTGCAAGCACAACTTCCAAAACTACAAGTAATTAAGCAAACATGTTATAAGCTCTATCCTTTTCAAATTATTATAAAGAGTTAAATCTTTTTTTTAACTTCTTTGATTGTAAATTAAGGATCTTCATCAGCACATGGAATGTTGGCGGGATTGCACCACAGGACGATTTGGACATTGCCGATTGGCTAGATACTCCCAATAATATGTGTGACATATACGTTTTTGGGTAAATAGTATAAATTTTTGACAAGGAAAAGTTGAGGTTTCTCAAATCGGCACAGTTTTTAATATTTAAAATTCGTCTCACGTTAGTTTTTTTTTTTCTTAATTATTCTTTTTACAGGTTTCAAGAGATTGTACCTCTAAGAGCATCATATGTTTTAGGTTCCGAAAATAGTAAGATTTCAATGAAATGGAATTCATTGATTAGAGAAGCATTGAACAAGAAGATTCAGCATTGCCTAGAAAAACAGCAATACAATAATAAATTAGGAAGAAAACAAAAAACTACTGAAGATGAAAAGGCAATATTCGAAAGCAGCATTCCTGAAGGCTTCCGGTGTGTCACTAGTAAGCAAATGGTTGGAATATCAATATCAGTTTGGATTCGAAGTGATCTGCGTCCTTATGTCCGGCATCCTAGGGCCTCTTGTGTAGGCTGTGGCATCATGGGTTACCTAGGAAACAAGGTACTGTTTGTATATCTTAGTTATATATTTTACTCAGATTAATTAATTAAATGAAGGTAACTGAAAAGAAACTTAAGTGGATTTTAATTGAGGTAATGAACAATGGCAACATGATTAATTAACTACAGCACGGTCTCCGACTTGATCATTTTGGTAACAATTAATATCCTTACAAAGATGATCATGTTATAATTCCCATGCATCTTCTAGAGTGTCTTAATTATATTTCGTTTACCTTTCTAAAACTTGATTTTGCAGGGATCTGTGTCAGTTAGATTTCAGTTGCATGAAACAAGCTTCTGCTTTGTGTGTAGTCATCTAGCTTCAGGAGGTAGAGAGGGGGACGAAAAGCATAGAAAATCCGACGTAGCTGAAATATTTTCTCGAACAAGCTTCCCTAGAGGGCCTTCGTTTGATTTGCCGCGAAAGATTCTAGATCATGAGTACGTGAATTAGGTTTAAGATTTGTTACAACCGTCCAAACCAATTCTTTATATATTTTACCTTCTTAATCAATGTTTTAATTATTCGACAAATTATATCATGGTCTTGGTCTCACTAGTAACCAAGAATATGAGACACTGGTAACCAATAAATTAAGAGTTTAAACAGCACCATTATTGCCAGTTTCCAACTCTGAAGTTGTCGTAATCATGGGCTTAAATATTATCATGCCATCAAAACTATAAAACCATTTTTTTTAATTATATATTATATAAATGACTTTCTGTGCACTGTATTTTTAAAACTTTCGGTAGTTGCCGAAGAATTTTTTTTTTAAATAAAGAAGAAAGAATCGGGCTCCGTATAGTTGGTAGATAAACCGCTTGGAGGGTTGAAATCTACCCCGGTAAACCATCTATATATATATATATAATGGAAGCCTTTTCTTAGAACAAGTCAACTTCTTAATGAAGTTAATTTTTTTTCCTTAAGACTGTAAAAGCTACTTCATAGATTAATGTAATATTAAAGCATATCTTAGTGATGTCAGCTAATTTTTCCTGATTTAGTGCAGCCGAGTAATTTTGCTTGGAGATTTGAATTATAGAATTTCTCTACCAGAAGCAACAACTCGATTATTGGTGGATAGAAAAGAATGGAATGCCTTGCTAGAAAATGATCAGGTATATACATACAATTAAAGTACGTAAATCATGAATAATATTTGAAAGCTTTACATTTTTTTTTCTTTTTTGTCATACATTAATCTAAGACTTGATTTTTTTTTCCTTGGGAATTAATGAAGCTAAGGATGGAGCTCATGAATGGTCAAGTATTTGAAGGTTGGCATGAAGGACTTATCAAATTTGCTCCCACTTACAAATATTGCCTGAATTCAAATGTATATTTTGGATGTGTTGAAGGCCAAAAAGGTGGAAAGTGGCGCGCCCCTGCATGGTAATTAATTAACTTATCAAAAACATTAATCGTCTAATCAAGAATTTATTTACATATATGTAACACAACCATTGAGGTGAAATTAAAAATCATGTTGAGTTCTTATGATCTTCCGCCCTTACTAATACAGGTGTGATCGGATTATTTGGTACGGAGAGGGACTGCAGCAACGTCTGTATACTAGAGGTGAATCAAACTTGTCTGATCATAGACCAGTCAAGGCAATATTTACTGCACAAGTTCAGGTATCAAGCACATTAAAAGGACTTCAAAAATTCTTCCTGTCAGAAAGGTTTGATCAAAGAACAACCAAATTTGATCAGATGTCATCATCCGATAAATTTCGATGCAGAGGCAGATCAAGCTTCTGATTGTAAAAAGACACATAAGTATATTGTAGCCACGCACATATAATTATACACACAAACACATAAAGTAGTGTGATGTGTGTTATATTATATTATATAGAAAGAAGGGAAATGATTTCTGCTAGTTGATCTGAATCTGCTGATGATTGTACACTAACTGTTTGTTTTAGAGGCTCCATGTGATTGTATAAGAGATCAGAAGTTGTCCTAGTCGTGCTTTCATTTTCTTTGCATTATAAATTTAATGATTGTTAGGTCTACAATTATATATTAAGACATTTTTCTAAGAAAAGTATGGTTAAGCAACTAATTATCATCTAATCATGCATTCAGTTGGAGAGTTTTAATCCTAACCTCATGCATTGATAATTCGTGCAGCTGGATGCTTAATTAAATTCAACTTCCAATGATTAGCGTAGTCTAAGAATCAAATTTGATTCTCTAATCTAAATATTAACCATGTCGTTAATATCTAATTTTAAAGAAAACATGATTGAAAATGTAAACAAAGAACATAGGATCGACAACAGGTAGCTAAAGAGCATTCCAGATAGATGAACTGTGGGCAAGATACCTTGTTCAACAGCCAATATGAAATCATGTAATCACAGACGTGATTCAAGAAAACTCCAAGTGGGTTAAAAGAAATTATGGGTGCCGATTCTATATAATTACATGGTTGTTGAACAAGAAATAATAGAGTACGCGTGTTAGGCTATATTTTAAAGATGATGGTGACTCTTGCTCCAGTCATCTGAAAAGTATATCGATACAGAGGATTATGGAGTACCTTAACTGGTATTAATTTATGAAGATCATAACAGTATATAGACACTTGATGACTAAACTTCCTTAGATTAATCTCTTGCATTCGGCGCTTATATATTCTGGACAAGATTTCAAGAGAGGGAACTTTTGGATTGCTAACATGTATAGCAAGCAACGCTCCATCATCCAACCCTACGAGTTGTAGTTAAATAAACCATGGTTTATGACCATAATTTATGGGCCAGCTGTTCGCATTGCCAAGAGGAGCTATATAATAATCATACATGTTTTATGACCATATAATCTTTTTTAATATGCTATATTTAAATAAAGATTTAATATCATGAGATTGATTTTAATATTTAATATTTAATCCTATGCATGTATGTGTCATTAATTACATTTTAAATTTAATTGTGAAAGTATTTTGTTTTTTATAAAAAGAAAATATAAACAAACTATATCAGGTTTATTTTTCCCAAGCGCATTCTTAAAAAATAAAATAGACATAACATAACAAGGAATAAATATGTTTTGGATGATCTCGATTTCTTTTCATTAAACACATATAATGATTTTTTTACTTAAAAAATAATAAAACAAAAGTTTCATATTCACCCCCTTAGAAACGGGAATAATTCGTTAATTTAACCTAATTTTAAGTCAAATTTTAATTAATTTAAAAGCCAAAACTGCATATAAAAACATATTTAAGTAAAATTTTGTCTGCGGACCTCATGTCCAATTTAAGGTTGGTTAGAACAAACAACATTCGGATAGCATGAGTAGGGCTTAGATATTGGGGAGGGGTGTCCCATAAAATTTATTGCTAGTAATTAATAATAATTTATTAGTTATTATTTGAATTTATTTAAATATATATATATATATATATATATAAAGATAAAAATTATGACTAGTAAAAATGATAAGAATATTTTTCTCTTCTAATTATATCTATTTTTTAAAATAAATATAAAATATAATTAACAAAATTAATTATTCTCTGAATACCACAAAATTTTTTTACATGTCCCAATAAGATAGGGATATGGAATGACTGAAAAAAATCAAAGATTATTAGCATCATTGTTCAAAACATGATAAACCATTACCAAATTAAGTTATTGAGATCAAGATAATAAACCATTAATTTAATTATATCTGCTCATGGCAGTCAGTTGCTTCTTTAAATAAGAAAGAAAAAACTATATATTTTCAATAATAAACTCGTTGTTTATTAATAATTAGGTCTATCAGATAATTTCCTATTCCTAATCATATGGATGCGCTTGCTAGCAAAGCTACTTCATTATTTTGTCCAGATTCGTGAATCCAAGCATTTGGTGCAAAGCAATATTGCCATTTGGAGCACGTATTATGCATTCAATATGTTATGTTATAGGGACAAAAGTGCAAGCACTCTCCAACTAATTAAAATTGTCTCCCAAAAAATCTTAGAAAGACCCCTTAATCTATCCAAAAATCAGCATAGCTACCAACTCGAAGATGAGATATAGTTTTCTCCTTCTTCTTTTTTTGTTCTCTCGCAAATTTATAGTACAGTACTAGCTATTGGTGTGATTAGAATTAATTAAAATTTAATTAGTAAGCGTAGACAGAAATAGATGTTGTCTATCCCTTTTTCTTGGAAATGAGAATATGAAGAGACGATATATTCTCTTATACATCATATTGAAGATTCTATACTTCGAGTTTATGTATTTCTATCAATATTCTCTCATGCGTTGCATTAAAATTTTATAAACTTATAACATCGAAAAAAGAATCTATAATCTTATCAAGAAAAAAAATATATATTAAAAATATATATAAATAGTATAGGGCTAGAACCTAAAGGTTATTCGGGCCCCAATTTAACAAAAAAAAAAAACTTCAAAATAAATAAGGTATATTTATCAATTATGCTTTATAAAATGAATATTGTCTCTACTTGACAAAATAATACTAAGTATGAAATAAAGATTGTTTAAAGTCCCACTTGCTAGACACACATAAAAAATAAAATAAAAAAATATATTTCTTAAATATCTTAAAAACCCTCATGTACAGTTTTTTCTAAAACTTTTATTCACAAATCCGCTATGTATAGAGAGAGTATCTAATTAAATATTGGATAAATACTATAAAATTTATTCTTCAATCATAATAATGACAATAATGGTGGCTGTGCTAATTTTTTAATAGCATGTGATGTAGAATAAGTGTTCATAGGACCTTTTTTAAACATTTTGACGAGGCAATTTTTAAGGAATTTAATGTGATTAAGGAATGTGTGTTTCGATGAGATTGTTTTTAAGCTGAAGGGGTCAATTGAAACATAAGAAAAAACACCACATCATCATTGGACAGAAATGAAAAATTGAGATCGCGACAAGAGTTCTTCATTGACGCAAACCAGACTTTTTAAGCCATTCTGAAAGTCGAGAAATCTTAGGGAGAAATTAAAATTTACTCTTCATTTTCTCATGATTTTTCCAGTATTAAAACCATTTGAAGGGTTTTGACATTTTTCTAATGAGGCCATTAACAATTTTGTTTTCTTAAATGATATTTAGTATGAGTATTTTAATTATGACTTGGTATTTAATATTTTAGCGAGCGAATTTAGGTTTCAATTAATGCATGAATTTGAACTTTAAAATCTTTATGATATCATTAATGCATTTATTTGGGATTTTTTTAATTTTAAATTACTATCAACGACAAAATGAATTGATTATTAGTAGTTCTACAAGGAAATGAAAGTGAACGCTAGTTAGTTACTAGATTTTATTAAGATTCTTTCCTTTTATTTGTTATTTCCTAGCAGGTGATACATAAAATAATGTAGGATTATAGGTTATCTAATAATAATTTTTTAAAAAGAAATTGGTCAAGTTCGGATATCAAAAGATATATAAAAAGGCTAGGCTTTCACCGAACTTATCATTTTCGTGTTTCTAGATAATATTTTGTTACTATTTTAGAATAAAAAAAAATGAAACTGTGGGAATAAAGTGTAAAGAAAATTAAAGACGCAATTAAATATATCTAACTGCTACCCTTTTATTTTAATTTTTAGAGATATATTTCTTTAGATTTTCTACTTTAAAAATATATAATTTTATTTTAAAAATATCTCAAAAACATAATTATTTAATATCTTTATTTTTTAACAAATGTTTCTTTAATATCTATTATTTTTATCCTAAAATACCTTTCAAATGCAATGAATACATGCATATGATGTACTAAATTTGTTTTATTTGGCTGTGAACGTAATTTTGTAACATCACGAGAAACATTTATATAGTTTGGACTCTTTCATAATGGCGCGCGTGATTATCTTTTTCATCTTTGCCCCCTTCGTATGCCTTTGGAGGGTGTAAAAATGAGGGAGTATTTGATTGCCTTGAACTTGAGTTAACAGGCAATAATGAGTTGGCTTCGTTTTTTCGGAACGAGGACAGCGGCGAAGCCAGGTCACCTTAATCTTCTTCTTTTTTCAAAGTGTTTTTTTTTTATTATTATTGTCCTTGTTTTTTTTCTATAAAAATTTTCCTTTATTTCTTTATAATTAGTTATTAAAAATATTTTCTTATATTAAATTATTAACATAGGTTAATTTTCTTTACTAGCTGCTAATAAATTTAAGTGTTTTTTTTATTATTATTGTCCTTGTTTTTTTTTCTATAAAATTTTTCCTCAAGCTTTAAATTATTAATTAGTTAAGTAAGTAATTTTGGATTTGTTCAATTAATATGTATATGGTTAATATTATACGTTAATGAATATGAATTGAGAACTTATACTTTATATTTTAGAAAAGTTTTCTTTATCTTTTTTCTTTATTTTATTATTTAATTTTAGTTTTATTTCTTTATAATTAGTTATTGAAAATATTAGGATTTATAATAATTTATGGGTTTGTTGAATTAATATGTATATGGTTAATATTATACGTTAATGAATATGAATTGAGAAGAGTTTTGATGAATTAATAAGTATTTTGTTATGAATTTCATATGAAAAATAATGATGATGAATTTAAGTATATGATAATTAAAAAAATTAAAGATATAATAGATAAATAATAATGATGAATTTAAGTACATGATAATTAAAAAAATTAGAGATATAATAGATAAATTAAAAAAATATTTAATATTTATATTTAATCCATTTGTACAAAACAACAAGTTAGCAAAAATAATATTAATATTTAATATTTATGATAATTTTTAAGCTATAATTTTAGATGTCATATACTATATATCAACATAGAATTATTATTAAAAACTTTTCTAGTTCTTGAAAGATTTAAAAATATATAAATGAAAGTTTGTTATATATATTGAGAAAAATATTTTTAATGAAATTAATAATAAAATTATTATAAAATAGTTTTAAAATATAAAATCTTAAAAAGAACAATTATAATATAAATTTTTTTATTTTTAAATATTTTTAAATTAATTTTACTTGAATTAACATGTATATTTTAAATTAATTTTTTATATAATACATATTTATATATAATATTAAATATTTATTAATAATTTACTCTCTCGTTTAAAAATCCTGGCTACCACAATGAGGATGTCATTAATTTGCTTCTTATTGTGCGATCTCACTCCCATTTCTTCGTCCAAATCAATCTGGCATATACGGTATCATTCTTCTTCCGGCCCATATTAGAAAAACACGATTGTTTACTCGATCGTTTCCATGTTCAAAAGACAGGCTCTGGAAAAAAGAGAGATGTCAACCTTGCCAAAACCTTCGATGCATTCATCGTCGCGTGATGATGCCGTGCAACTAAACCGTGCTTTCAAAGGTCTCTACGTAATAATATTTCTTTTCCTTCGGTTGATTTCCTATTAATTTTTCGGTTTTTATTGCATGTTATAGCTAGCTATATAGCTGCTTGATATAGATTGCTCTCTCCCCCTAATCTCCAGCTGAAATGCTGGAAAAACATTTATGGCGTTGCATTTACTCTTTTATTTATTATCTTTATAATCAGGGTTAGGTTGTGATACTGCAGTAGTTGTCAATGTTCTTGGAAATAGAAACGCGTCTCAACGTGATAGCATTCAACAAGAATACGAGACCTTGTTCTCTGATGACCTCAAAAAACAATTGGCTCTCGAGCTTCATGGCCATCTTAAGGTACGTGCGTCTAGGACAGAAACTTTGGAGTTTCTATTATTGTATAATTATACCTCATGCCTAGCCAATCCTGTTGGATTGAGGAGATCCTGATCCTGTTATATCTTTAATCTTCAGAAAGCAGTTTTACTATGGATGAAAAGTCCAGTAGAACGGGATGTTACAACACTGAGACAGGCTTTGACAGGACCTATTATTGATATCAAAACCGCCACTGAAATAATATGTAACCGCATTTCATCCCAGATTCGACAGATTAAGCAAGTTTACACTCCTACTTTTGGCACGTTACTTGAGTATGATATTGGGTATCACACATCTGGTGATCATAGAAAGGTCCCCCCCTCTAATTCTACAGCATAAGATTTTTATAGTTTGTCCCTTTCCTGGTACCTAATTATTTGCCTGGACAATATTATGCTTGCTGTTTGTTTTGTCCTGATAAAAGTCTCTACTATGCCTAGCTAACGAGGTTCTATCTTTAAATTCATCAGTATATTTGTCATTGAAAGAAAGCAAAGTATGGGCCAACTGGAGTCCAGAGAAGGAATAAATGAGAAGTTATACATGTTTCTTTTGCATCTGCTGTTGTCTGAAATGACCAGAGGCCTTCAAGCTTCACTGTTAATGAGATCGTGAGATTGGTATTAAAAGTAGACTATTTCTTACATGTAGTCTGTAAATACCCAGGTTCTATTTATTGCGTACGTGTATCAGTATAATCTGCCTTTGAATTTTTTATTTAGCTGCTGCTTCAGATGCACCTCTCTCCAGCAACTTAGTTTAGCAGTTCGGTTCCTTCATAGATACATCCCTTATTGGGAATATCAATTTCAAAATTTATTGTGGTTTGATTCTCTGTTTTTTTTTTCCTCTTAATAGTTTCTGCTGGCATATATAGACACAACACGATACGATGGTCCAGAAATTGAGAGAGTGTTGGTAGAGGAAGATGCTATAGCTATCAGTAAAATTGAGGTGAAGAAATCTGGAATGGATGAGAGTGCATTTATTCAGATTTTTACTGAAAGAAGCTCGGCACATTTGGCTGCCCTTGCTTCTGCTTACCATAAAATGTTCAGAAAAGAATTGAGAAAGGTGCATTTTCATCTGCATTGTGTTGTAATTTATCTACCTTTCCTTCCATGCCCTTCTTATATGGTACTTACACTATGCCAACATGCTGCAGACAATTAAAAGAGAAACATCAGGGAATTTCAAGTATGCCCTTCTAACAATTTTGGAATATGCTGTTGATCCAACAAAGCACTATGCAACGGTATCTTCCAGCAAATTTACAATTAAACTTCCTTGCTAAAGAAAAGAGATACATTACACTGATTTATCTCGTTTATAATCTTTTAACTCAATTTGAAATTAAGTGTGGTAGTTAGCAACTGAATTTGTCAGCTAGTAGTCTAATTTGCATAGCTTTACAGATGTTGCGCAAGGCAATGAAAGGTTTGGGTACAGATGATAGTACTCTAATCAGGATATTAGCTACGAGAGCTGAGATTGATTTGCAGAAGATCAAGGAAGAGTACTTGAAGAAGTACAAAAGACCATTAGTTGAAGTTGTTCATTCAGATACGTCAGGTTACTACAGGGCCTTCCTTCTTTCCCTCTTAGGCTCTAAGTTCTAGCTCTAGATATCTTCTGTGGAATTGTGTTATCTACTATGTGGATTCCTGACTAGTAATTTGACAAACCACAAAGCCCAGCAATTGCCGAGTATGATATAGAACACGGCATACAGTTTCCTTGACGTCGAACACGCTATCATGCAGTTCAACGTAGCAACAGAAAGCAGTGTGAAGGTGGAAAGAACTGGATGGAGTTTTTGTCTATCCTTGTGCCTGGCTTGTCGATTATAAAATTTCTGCATCAACCACACAATAGCTTTTCTAGCTGTCTTTTTTTTTTGGGGTGTTGGGGGGGGGTTTGCTTGCTTGTCTTTATCAGAAGGATGGGGTCTGATGTTGATTTAGCTGTACTGTATTAATATTATTTGAGAATAATACTTGCAGTATGAATTTGATAAATGATCCGTGGACTCAGAAAGCTTCCAAGAATTGGAATTTTTCCAATAAGGCTGAAACTTTGGATGATAATTTTTGTTATATCTTCCAAGTTCTAATCATTCAGAATTCATTGGCAGGTTCTTTTGCACAAGATAGCCAAGTTAAGATCAATTATGAGCTTTGATTAGCAAGCCATGCAAAAAATATCTAGGCGTAAGATTTCCATTGAGTGGTCATATTAATACGGCCCTTTAAGAATCTTACTTTCATTAACGTAATGCCAAGCAAGTTATCTTGGTTGATCGAAAAATTAGAAGAAAGGCGTATGGTTGCAAAGGCACTTTAATACTTGGTTAATTCTCACAAAGTTTAGTTGCAGGTAAATAAATATCAGAGATAATTTATTTGAAAATTATAACAGCTGTTTAGGCTGTCAAATCTCCAAAATATATAATTAACCCTATTAGTATTAAGATTGATTCAATGCTGATAGGTAAGTACTAGGAGCTGACTACAATTTTGTTAGCATTATGAGGATAAATCTCAAATGAAATATACAAAGATATTTCTTTCATTTTCATTGTGTGTGTATCTGCTCATGATTAAGTTTTTCATCTTGAACGAAACCAGAAATAACTTTTTTTTAATTTCAAAATACTATAGATCCTTTTTTCAATGATGGTAAGTTGGATTCCTTAATTTAGCCCAGACAGAAAAAAAGAAAATGAGAATCTGGTCTGGATGTTTTCCCTTCTTTTTTCCTTCTCTTTTTAATTAGTGAGCTAAAAGGAATTTCTAAACCACCATGAATTTAATGGCAGCCATATAATGATGTAAATATCTCCACATGCTCCACGGACATCCTATCCGCATTTGTATCCGTGAAACATGGTCTTCCAGCTATTAATTCTCCAGGTCAGAAACAGAGGATATCCTCAAGCTATTTAACTGTCTAGTGTTGTACTTGTTGAATATATTGCAGATTTTTGTCTTTCCAAATCTTTTATGCAACCTTGTCTCCTTTGATTCAGATTCTACTTCGTCATGGCTAGCCATGGCTTTTATTCAAAATCACAGGCTTCATGCATTGGCGTGGCACTACTATTTTGCACGTCTTTAGTTATTCCTAGTTTTGCAGAGCCTGAAAGGCTTGAACACCCCGCTAAAGGTGATGGATCACTTAGCTGTTTGGTGGTTGGAGACTGGGGGAGAAGAGGCTTCTACAACCAGTCTCATGTTGCTTTTCAGGTCTGAAACCTCTCTGTTTCTCTGTTCTGGCCTGGTTTTTATGGCCTATACGTGCCTGGCTTTGTTGTTATACATGTAAGAGTAGCCCAGATTGCCAACGGAAGCCTTGTAGTGTCCAGAAAGCATGAACATCCAAATTGCAGGAAACACTATATAGGGAGTAGTTGTTTGCTGTTGGATGATGCTTAACTGAAACTAAAAGATCTGTGCCAAACGCATCACCAATTGACAGTCGCCAAGTTTAACTTTATTATTTATCAGAAGGAGAAAAGGAAAGGACTTGCTGATATATTATCTACTGTATTGTTAATCTATATTAATTCCTGAAGAGACTAATTTCTTTAAGTATGCATGACAGATGGGAAAGATTGGGGAGAAACTAGACATAGATTTTGTCGTCTCAACGGGAGATAATTTCTATGATAATGGATTAACGGGTCTAAATGATCAAGCATTCGAAGAGTCATTCACCAAGATTTACACAGCTACGAGCCTGCAAAAACAATGGTATAGTGGTAAGTCTTCAGCCCATGACAAAATCAATTTTCTCCCCATCAAATAAATAAACCATGCATTTATTTACAGGCTTTGAATAATTATAGGATTATAGAATCTCAGATTATACTTCCTTCATTTTGTTTTTTCAGTATTGGGAAATCATGACTACAGAGGTGATGTAGAGGCACAGGTACACCCTGCGCTTAGGATGGTTGATAGTAGATGGCTTTGCCTTAGATCTTTCATCCTTAATGCTGGTACATTGGCATTGACATCCACACCTATTTATTTCAGTATCGAAACTTGTTTTCTGATCTCGTTATTTTGGCTCATAATTCACTAGAAATAGCGGGGTTCTTCTTCGTCGACACCACTCCATTTGTCAACGACTATTTCACTGACATGGATCATACTTATGATTGGCGAGGTGTGACTCCTCGAAAAGCATACCTTGATAGCCTTCTTAAGGTAAACATATGAAGTAACTTCTCTATCCCATTACTAGTATTGAATAAGTACATATTTTGAGGGCACTTCCTCTTAGATTAATCTTTACGAAAATATGGCATACGATCACTAGGATTTGGAAACTGCATTGAGCGGATCAACTGAGAGGTGGAAAATTGTTGTCGGTCACCATGCAATCAAAAGTGCTGGGTATCATGGAGACACAAAGGAACTCAATGATCTACTTCTACCAATGCTCAAGGTAAAACGATTAGCAGCATTATTGTTAATCGTAAACATCCTTCTGAAAGAGCTACAGAATTTCTGGCCCTGTAACAAGCTTGAATATATAGTGTTTTTTATTCCTTTTTCTCGCAGTTGATGAGAATATATTATTGCTGATATGTACTTGTACTATAATATGCTTGATCATGGTGTGAAAATATAGGCATACAATGTTGATATGTACGTGAATGGGCATGACCACTGCCTAGAACACATCAGCAGCCTCGATAGGTAAGATATGTAAAAACCTTCTACCATATTGAAAATATTTTCTAATGGGAAATTCCTTCCATCTTTTTCCTTAAAAGCAGTCCAATCCAATATCTAACAAGTGGAGCTGGTTCAAAGGCATGGAGGGGAGACCTTAATCAACACTATGAGGAGGATGATTTGAGATTCTTCTACGACGGTCAGGGTTTCATGTCAGTGCAATTGACCAAGAATGATGCTGGGATTACGTTCTATAACGCTTTTGGCAAGATTTTACACGAATGGAAGGCATTGAAGGAGCTTCACTCAGCAGTATAAAGCCAGTTAGCATATTTTGTAAAGTATTTTAGCAACTGGAGACAATCTGTAAATATATATGTGCATGTGTCTTCGGCACTCTCTGTTTCTAATCGTAGTTAGCTATGATCTATCCATGTGATTGGATAGGGATGCTGTCAAATTATTTACGAAAAAAAGTGTTTGACGTTCATGAATCATGAATTAATAGCTTGTTTCAAGCAATAAGATTGGCTACTGAATCTTTGAGAGCATAAATATAATATTCAGAGTAGAGGAATCGGATAAGAAAGAGAGTAGAGGGGTCATATTAAAACAATATCAAGAGTACAGGGACGAAATAACGCTATTTAACCCTCGTTAGGAGGTTAAGACCAGAAGTCTCCCCCGTGCCAAACCCAAACCAACCCAAGTGCGCCTCCCCCGTCTCTCTCTCCCTGCGATCGATTTCTATGAGAAAATCAAAATCTCAAGTAACATTAGTGTTGGAATAAGATCAGAAAACTTGAAAGAGAATCTATTCAATTATTGAACATGGACATGAACACGACGATAAGCGTTGAGCCTTTCAAGCGGTACAGAAATTTTTTTCGTCTTAGTTAATTGATCAATTCAATTGAACCCAAGCGGTTTCCAAATTTTAATTATTCTTCTTCGAAATGAAATAGACTTGTAAAGCTTGCGGGGAGAGCATTTTATGATGATGTATCAACAAAAGGAGAAAATCAGTCCAAAAACAACGCTCGCGGCGACAACAAAGGCATTGCCGTCGTCGTTCTTGATGCTCTCACCAGGTTTGAAAAATCAAAATCTGATTTCTTCTTCTTCTGTTCGCTTTCTTGATTGATGAAAGTTCTCTTTGATTATTGCGCAGGCGACTCTGGGTTAACGAAGAAGGTTTGGCTAAAGACTTGAAAATACACATTAAGCAACTTCGTCGGATTCTCCGCCTTTTTGAGGAAGATAAACTCCTCACCCGTGCTCATAGGAAAGAGGTTTTTCTTTTTTTTCTTTTTCTTTTTATTATTTATTTATTTTGCCTAATATTGTAATACTGCAGTACATTATTATTTACCAATAATTAAATTTGTTAGACAGCAAAGGTTACGAAGAAACCGAATGCCGGCGGTGCTGCTGATGGTCAAAGAAAGTTTGGTAGTAGAGAGGATGATAAAAACAATAAGCTCCATACTCACTCTTATTGTTGTCTAGATTATGCGCAGGTTTTCTCTCTCTGCTATAAGCAAACCTTTCGTTTCGTTTTTGTATTGATAACTTCTACTGAATGTTCAGATTCCAGATATATGATGTTGTTAGGTATAGATTGCACCGCATGAGGAAAATGATCAAGGATGAATTGGAGAACAATAACGCTGTTCAACAATATATATGCCCCAGCTGTGGAAGAAGGTAACAGATATAATTCGATAATTGTTGTATGTTTCTCTATTAGGAAAATGGTGGGATTACACCTTAATTGTATTCATGTGTTGGTATGTACATGCAGCATTGTGTTTGATTTAAATTCAAACAACAAATAAAATCTATCCTATCTCAACTAAAATACAAAACTTGAATGAAAGATAGGTTAGCTGGAATTTAAAAAAAACAAGTGGTATGGAATCTGAAAAATAATAACTAAAATATAAGGATAATTATCCTCTATTAGAAGGTATTTATCATTAGTGTTTTTTATTTTCTTTCTTTTTTTCCTTAATTTTCCCTGGAGTTTTAGTGTTTCAGTATTTCATGATGTCTTAACAGATACAATGCTTTGGATGCGCTGCGCTTGATTTCTCTAGTTGATGAATACTTCCACTGTGAGAATTGTGATGGGGTACTTGTGGCTGAAAGTGACAAGTTGGCTGCCCAAGAAGGAGGAGATGGAGATGACAATGCAAGGAAGCGGAGGCGTGAAAAATTGAAAGACATGCTTCAAAATATGGAGGTTGGTATTCACTATAGCAATCCTGGTTGTTTAACGCGCTAGTAATTCTTTCCCATTGAATCATTATTTACTAAACTTTATTTAGAGTAGAAAAAGAATGCTCATTATTCACTAAACTTGATTTAGAGTAGAAAATATTGTGTGGTAGAAGGTTTTTTAATTGCGCAAATGTGATTCTGTTTGAACCTGTTCAGTCTTTGCTGTGGCTGTGTTATTTTTTTTATTATGTCATATTCTTGGTTTTGTACTAACGATGTGAACTCCATGTAATCAAGTTGAGTGAGCAGCTAGTTTCTGTCTCTGCATTTGGTTTTGTTTTCATTCATGGGGTTTCTCCAACATTGAGATGACTGAATCATTTTTTATTGTTAATTAAAATCTCACCATGTTGTCATCATGAATGTTTAACTTGTTATGTTCTTGCTAGATGTTGTGGAGTGCTATGTAATTGTAAAAGTTAATGGCATCTATGTTTGAAAGCTTTTTTTTTTTTTCCACACTTGTATCCATTTCATTTGTAGTTTGGTTTCCTTCCCTTGAGGTTTTTTTTTTCTTCTATATTTCGTGTAATTTACATTCGGTAAACCAGAACTAGCATCTACTTTTCAGTGCTATTTTATGGTGCCTAATTTTGATTTTGAGTCGATAAATTGCAAAAATTGGCCAGCCAGGTTTTGGCTGGCCAAAGCAAGTCTTGAAGTCTGACTAAATAGGAGTTGCATCTTGATGGAATCTTGGTGTGCATATTGCCTGAGAAAGGGCATGAAAGAAAATTGAAACACAATGAAGGACTGGTACGGCATTCTTCCTTAGGTTTGTGAGGGGATGTAGTGGTGTATTCATTTTGGGAGAAACTCTTTTTCCCCCCTTCAAGTTCACAGCTTCTTCATTCTCACAAGCATATGAGAATAGATTTTAATTCTTGAACCTTGGACATTTTTCATATTCATATTTTGTAGAGGCTTAACTTTAAGAGCATTTGGCTGGATGTATCCACTTTTCAATACCATTTACCTGTGTCCACTTGCATCTATTACTCATTATTTGCAATACATCAGCCTATTTCTGTCATTTTGAGTGGCCAAAATGTAATGTCTAGGTACAACTTAAGCCATTGATGGATCAACTTAGCAGAGTGAAAGATCTACCTATTCCTGAAATTGGAAGTCTTCAAGCATGGCAACTTCATGAAAATGCTGCTGGGCGTGCGACAAATGGTGATCCTAATTCCGATGATCATTTCAAATATTCTCAAGGACCAGGGTATGGTGGAACACCAATGCCATTTCTTGGCGAGACAAAGGTATCGTTTTTCTGTGCCTGCTGCAATCTCTCCTTTTTTAAGAAGTCTGTGCAAATAAAAATTTGCTGTCACTTTCATGAAGTTGGAATTGGTTATAAGCATTTTATATATGACCTCTTGAAGTCATAAATTCAATCACGTTACTTTCATAAATTGCATGTATCTAGGGACACTGTTTGCTTCTTGTTTGATGCATGCTGGTCAACTACAAGCATGCATGAATCATCATTAATGCTATTTGGGAGCTTATACATGCAAAAGAGGGATGCTTGGTAAAAATGCCTAAATACCCGTTCCTATATTTATTTTGTGTGTGTATAACAGCATTCTACAAAAGGGAAGATGAGTCATCCTCTAAGTAGGCAGAAAGAATTTGGAAATCAAATTCGATATCCTCAAAAAAACAATTGAATATTAAATGTGGCATTTCTTAATTCTCCTCAGATGCAGATTGTGCGCAAGCAAAAATGATATTGGATAATGTTTTCTGTTGCCACTTTCAGAACTTTATCAGGAGTGTTTGAAATTGATGAATCCTCTTAAGCATCTTTGAGGTGTTTTTGTTTGAGTCTTAGCATTATTTGTATTCAGAGTAGCTGGTCTTTGTCAGTGATTAGAATTTCTGTCCCATTGGTTTCTTGAACTCATATACATGGCAGGCACTGCCCCGGTACCCTTTATTTGCCTTCTATATTGATTCTGTGTTTTAATTTGTTTGCTTGGGTTGGATAATGCCTTATTCTCCAATAATATTTTGTACATTACTTGTTCATAATAAATTCCTTTTCATAGAAAGAAATAGATTTCTTTTATTTATTATTATTATTTTAGAAAAGTGATCCAGGTAGTGACGTACTATGCTATTATGAATTGTTTCCCTCTTTGTAATGGTTTGGTCTTCTGGACTCCTGTAATAAAGGCTTTGTGGAAAAGCTAGAAAATTGTAGGATCTGTAAGTAATGAACTTCTTTTGTTATCTGGTTCTTTTCAAAAAAAAAAAATTTGGGTTCTTTTCAATGTTTCTTTCTTCTGTTTCTTGCTTAGACATTTGGTTTGATGAATATTTCCATTTCATTATAGTTTCTTCTAGCATTGGTCATTTGCAAGGCTTGGATCATTCATGAGCTATCTATGGCTAATCTTGACAGGTTGAAGTCGCCTTTGCTGGTGATGAAAGCAAAGAGAATATCAAATCTGAAACTGCAAGTACAGGTCTAAAAGTATTACCACCATGGATGATCAAGCAGGGAATGAACCTTACAAAGGAGCAACGTGGAGAGGTCAAGCAGGAGAGTAAGATGGATAGCAGTTCGACAGCTGTAGAATTCTCAGATGAAAAGAAGTCTGCTCAAGAGAATGGTGATAGTATAAAGGTCTCTGGAATGATATGATGTTCTTGTGTGTTTTGATTTGGCATACATGTTTTTTACTCTTCTTTTTTTTCATGTACCTGCCAAAGCTTATTTTGCTTATAATTTTACTCATTTATATGACAGGAGGAGTATGTTAAAGCTTATTATGCTGCTCTGCTTGAACAACAAAGACAGGCAGAAGAATCTGCCAAGCAACAACGAGAGTTGTCTCAGACATCCATGTCCAATGGCCTTTCTGAATCATCTTCTAATCGTCAAGTGGGCATGAAATCCAAGCGTGAGGAGGGTGAGGGAGATGATGATGTTGAATGGGAAGAGGCTCCAATTGAAGGTAAGTCTAATAATTGGAAGTTGATTGCCCTCCTATCCTGTAAGGGACTAGGATAGTCAGTGCATCTCTATGCACATCTATCAAGAGTCTTCCAGCCCCCTGCATTCATTGTGCCCCACATGAGTAATACCATGATTCATTTTGTTTTTCCTGATAGAATAAGAATTCTATTAAGCGAGTAAAAAGAATGGAATGTGAATGAAGGATACGCTATCCTCAAGGAAAGAGAAAAATCTGTGTAAAGAGAATTTATTAGGGACTTTGGGAGAAGTATCCTTCCAACTCACATAACAGTGGGACTGTCCATGATAACGACCAATGTGCCTCATTTTTATGTGAGTGAGGGAGCACTACTCCAGGTGCACCCAATAATCTCACTCAACTAATATTTAAGAGTTTTCCGATCTCCTTGCATGTCCACTAAGGAATATTCCTCAGGAAAAAAAAAAAAAAAAACCATGGTGAAACACCATTAAAGCTTGTGTTTGGGATTTTGAGTTTTGAAAAAGAAACTGAATAATTGCTTGAGGATTCCAAACATGAGTTTTTGTTCTAAACTGAATTTTGCCATTTCTACCAATCAAATAAAAAACACACAAATGAGAATCCTAGAAAATAATTTCATCTCAAAGTAGCTGAGAGGTGAAAGAGTTTTGAGTTATGGTTCATCCATATACTCCAAATCACACAAATGAGAATCCTAGAAAATAATTTCATCTCAAAGTAGCTGAGAGAAGAAAGAGTTTTGAGTTATATTTCATCCATATACTCCAAATCACAAAAAATCGCACACCTCTAAAGATTATTGTTTTCCATCCTCCCAAAACCTTTGCATTGTGGCAACAGCTCCTTTGGGATATTGGGATCCACACTAAAAAACTGCTCTACACCTGCATGCAACAGAGCAATGCAAGAGAAGATGATCCAATGTTTGATTACTATTAGAAATCATTATGCATGCATATGTTTCATAATGCATCCAGAGCATATTGAGACAGATTAGTGACTTCCTGTCCTTGTATTTTCAGCTGATACCAACTTTCATATTAGGGTATAGCATGGCATCATTGTGACCGAAGCAATTATTGTCAAACTGAGCCAAACCAAATTAGATGGCTTTGCAAGTGTAGAAAATTTTAACCATATAGGGTGATAAAATTTGAGTCTCCTTTAGACCTCTATTCTGTGCCTCCCATATTATCAATAACAATGATGTCATTCTACCAGTTTGCTTACTGTTGATTCCAATATTGCAGGCAATACAAGTGAAAGTTACAGACTCAATGATTTGAATGATGAAGCACCAGCTTCTGGGGAAGAGGATGATGATATAGACTGGGAAGAAGGTTGAGGGAGCGCTGGTTTTATTGATAGTTGCTTATCACATGCCATACACCAGAATTGCTTTGTTAGCACTGGTTTTATGCTCTTCCCGAATTCCTGAGGAACAATTAATGAAACCTCTGCACTACCTAGCAAGGAGCTTCTGGTCTGCATTTGCAGTCAAAGGTGAAGTGTAGCAGACCAAGTGTCTTCTGCTTGGTCCATTGAAGATTTTCTTTTCTTCTGACGAGCTTTAATCCCATCTTGTCGCTAACATGAAACTGAGTTTTAGTGACAATCGCTTGAAAATTCTAGATACTAGATGCCTTTTATATATATGCTGTGGCCAAAAAATTGCTATCATGTGGAGCAACATTGATGCAATTTAGTTTTTTTTATTGACAGTCAATTTAATGTTATTTACTCCGAGCACTTGAAAAAAACAGTGTAAAAGCTGGTATAATGGGCGCCGCCGTTGAATAAATGGTGCCCAAGATGTATAATAAGGCGGTTTCTATAAGAGTCTTTCCAAAATCAAGAGATAATTGATGCATCCATCTTATTCTCACGAATGTTCTTATATATATATATATGTCCGATTGAGAATGCCTTGGAACCATCTGAAGTATGAGAGTTTTGCCCAGATGCTTCTGAGGTGGTGTCGTTGCTGCTGCAGATGAATAATTGTTGACAAACACAGCTATAACTTGAGAAGTTTTCACAGAAAATTGATTTTTGTTGTGTATTTCATCTATTTTCAGTAATTAAGGTTACACGGGCTTTATTCTATTGAAAAAATATTTTTGATGCCAAGATCAGATTCTATAGCTTAAATTCTTTTTGTTATAATAACACATGGAAAAAAACCAATTATCAGAATTTTCGAGGGTCAATTTTTTTTATTTCAAGAACGCAAATGGAATCTGATTAGTTGTAGTTTTTCTTATGTATTAAATCATTATGAAGAGCCCGAACTGATTTGGATGACTGACTGATGATTTGTAGTATTGCCCATCTTGCTTATTAATGTGAAATCAATTCAAATTTTTTTTTATTCTTAAAGTTTTTTTTTCTTTGGTTTATTTTGCCCTCCGACAAAAATTTATTGGATTCATTTACTTTTCAATTTTAAAATTACTATGGATGTTAAGGTAAATAAGTACATTAATAAAAAAAATATCCTAATTAAAAATGTATTTTAAAATTTAATAATGGTACCTAAGAATTCCCTAAGATATTGATTTTTTTCTTACAATTAAATTCCCCCCCCCCCTAAATTGCTGAAAATTCCAGCCCCAAGTTGATTGTACAGAAAAACAGTTATTTTTTAAAATATTTTATATTTAAAAATATATTAAAATAATATTTTTTATTTTTAAAATTTACTTTTGATATTAATATATCAAAATAATTTTAAAACACAAAAAAAAAAAAACAATAAAAAATTTAAAAACTCCAGGGCCAAACACCCCCAGTTCCTAGAAACAACATGCCCATCAGAACTAGCTTAACAAAACTTGTGAAGAAGATATAAGAGAGTTAAATTAAAATGAGATTTCTGCCTGGTGCATGTAGTTCATATTGTAAGACAACAAAAAAGAAACAGAGAACACAGGGGATTGACAGGAGAACTGAGTTGTTCCTCCTCCCCTTTTTCCCCGCCAGTAGTATGAAATGTCAAAGTCTTAAAAGTTTTTCCGCTGTTTACATTTGCTTTGAACTCATTTCAAGCCGCAGCCTACCACTCTAGCCTTTGACAAAATACAGTCTCTCTTTACACTGCTCCAGCTGACTGGTCAGCTACAGTATGGTTAACGCTTTGCTGTTCTTCCTGTTTCACAGCTCTTCCATCCAAAATCCCGTTGCAGTCCAATCTTTGAGTCTTTTCTGCTAACTTCTCTTTTGGAGACGCGCTTGTATCACGACTGGATTTTCCCAGTCCATTTTCTTTCTCTGGCAGAGAAGCTGTCTCCGTAAGGAAGTTCATTTCAGTAGCAGCAGTCGACAACTGTAGGGGAGATGATGCATTGCCGGAACCTGGTGGAGGAAGGAAAACACCTGTTCCGGGGATGGGGACAGCTAGGCGAGCTGAAGGATGCCTTGGAGAAGCTGTAGGCCATCCAGTTGAAACTGGTGGGATGGGAACTGGTGCAGGAAAAGTCACTGTGGTGGTCATGAAGATTGGTTGGACACCATTTGGAGGTGGAATTTGAGGTCGAATGGGCGGCATTGGCAGTACACCAGCCGTTGGAATTGCTGCATAATGCTTGGGCACAGGATGGCGAGGATGATTCGGGGACCTGCTCAGAGGAGAACCCCAATGGGAAGATGGGGCTACAGCGTGTAAAGGAAGACGCGAGCCATCAGTAGAAGTAAATTTCTTTGGTTGAGACTTGGTGAAGGTAATGAGCATTCGTTGTTTTCTAATCATGGGAATTGCATGCTTGGCCACATCTGATGACTTCCCTTGCATCACAAGGAGGGATCTGTTTTTTGTAGCAAGAAACATTACTTCACAAATATAAGACCAAATTTGCAACTCATCTCATGAGAACTTGACACCATGAAAATTTGTAACAGGAGCAAATCTGACCATGAAAAGTAATATTGTATGTTCATTTCAGCACTGACATCTGCTAAGGAATTAATTAAAAGAACAGTGTTAATAAAATAGAACTTTGAACTTATCACAGAGGATACAAACAATATCATTCCAGAACCTAATTTCAAGCTGAAATGCTAATTACTACAAAGCTAATCATAAAAACCAATAACTATCGATGAAACAACAAATATGCAGAGTTGATAATGATTACCCAGGCACAAGAGAAAGCTTGAGAGACCCTCTATAATCCCCATGATGAACAGTTTCAATTTCTCTCCCAAAAGTCAGCTCACATTCTGTCAAGAAAAGAACTGAAACAGGCTTTCCAAACCATGGAGGCCACATGTGAGGCTGGGAGTGATCACCCTGCAGAAATTTCCACAAAAATTTAGGCTTGCTTACATAATCAATGCTATTTGGAATCATTACACATAATACCACTAGTAGTTACCTCATTATAGATATCAATTATGCAAGAGTCTGGCTTCACGGTCATAACTTGCATTCCAACCAGACGGTCAATTACCTCTTGCAGCATTGCAGGAATGGATTCTACTCTTCGATCTGCAAAATTTATTCATGACAAAATCCAAGGGTCTAAGAACTAATGTTTCTTTAGCATTGCAAAGAAAAGAAAAATCTGCATGCATCTTAACCAAACACATGTATATATGTAAAAAGTTCTGCACAAGATGTGACATGCCTTTGGAGATCCCAGTTTCATTTTCAGTTTCGGCAGGTGCATCTGCAATGGGAAGACCAAATTGAATCATCTCCCTTCCATGTCCCTTCATGGGCCTTTTGGAGAGAATATATGTCTGACCTGCTTTTCAACAAAGAATTTTCCCATGATCAACATTTTTGCTACAAGAAAATTCCTTTTTGCATATACGTATGTGAAAGACAGGAAGACCTCCACCAAAGCAGGAATACTGCTGTAATATGGGGAGCTACTCTGCTTAATTTTTTCATAGAATGATTTAAGAAATAGTACCTAAATTTTGACATTGACAAAGCACGCCAATGCTTGGGTACTGATTAAGAAAATTAATATGTTCTTTAACACACTTCACTCTGATAAATGTTATATGAGAATCTGTTAAATTATAAGAGCATTTGCATGGTGTGCATGCCTCGAACATAACACTGTACAGGCTACCAACTAGAAGAGGCACGTCTAAGAATGGGCCATGAAGCAAGATGGCTCTTACCCCCTGAGAACCTAAGCTTGACCGGTCTCAACCTCAGGCCCATGCAAAATAATGTTGACCAACCCCTAAGTAGTACAATGAAGTATCTTTAGAACAAAACAATTAATCAATTATGAACACTGCAATAAGTATTTACAAAAACTATACTTTCCCTATATTGTTGATAAAATGCGAACCTCTATGGTAGTTTGCATATTTTGGAGGGACCAGATTAATGCACAAAATTATTTCACGAAAGCAGAAGCAACGTGAAAAGATGCAGAACAATACTAACTTCTCTTAAGAATAAGGCCCCATTAATGACTTGCCTTGAAATTGTCCTCTTCTCCCTGCAGCTCTTAACTCATTAACCAAAGAAACAAGCTTTGGGACTTCCAAGCCATCGAGCAAGTTTTCATACAATTTCAGTCCATCAACCACATTAACCTGGAGTAGATATAAACAAATTAGTAGAAGATACAAACTATGAATTAGTTGAGAATATAAAAAAAAAAAATTGATATTTGTAAAAGTGTTACCTTCTGTTCATCTATCATCTCCTCAGCAACAAATATTTTTGGTGTGATAGCAAGATTCTGCTTCTCATTCTGATTGTTACTAGGATGTGAATCACTCTCTGGTAAAACCACAAGATCTTTCAATAACAAAATTAATATGCCAAAATAACAAAATGAAACATGACATGGGACGATGGCTTTACAACAAACAAATTTCAGAAGATATGAACCAAGATAGCATGTTGCTTAGGCTCCTTTAAAAAGGTGCAAATGATTCTACACTGAAAATAACCAAGACGAGGCATAAAGAATTTTCCTTTTGCAATGTGTGAGCTCAAAACATTGTTAGCAATTAAATCTTCCACTGGACTAGTGAGAAAATCATGATAATCCATGTTAAAGAACTTCAAAGAGCTTTAAAATCTGTTGCCTGTTGCCAACCCCAAGAGAGCACAAAAAAGATACCTTTGGGGCTGCATCGTTCATCAACAACCACAGCTTCTGGATTTCCAGAAAAGGTTCCTTGTGAATTCCCCAAAATATTCAAGAGGTTATCTGTATGAGGTTTTGCAGTAACATCTGCTGACAAGACACAGAACTTAAATGAGCATCGTTGTTTCCCCAAAGAGTTTCTAGGACAAGGCATTGTTTCAATTTACTGCATATTATTCATTATTCTTAAACTTGTACATACAATATGGCGTTCATAATGTAAGAGTATGTAGCCTAAGGAGAGTCAGACAGAACAACTAACAATCCAAAGCTTCAAATGTCACAGTAGAGCAGGGGACAAAGGATTGAAATATATCAGTAGAAGTAAAATACAAAAAGGAGCTCCAGGCATACATATCAGAATAAAAGCTTCAACAGTTTTAGGCTAAAAATAAATTACATAGAAGAAGATTTTCCATTTTTCCCAGACATGATGTGCCAAACAAACAAACTTAGGAAAGTACTCGCAAATAATATGCATCCATCAAATTATGACATGGCACATCCAAGAACGCTGTAAGAGAGGTGAAACTTGTCCAAATCCGATTTGATAGGTGTAAATATTTAGCAGTCAAGCTAGAGCACCAGCAACCTTTTTTTACCAAAACTTCCAAGCCATACAGAAACAAGGCACAGATACCTGGCAGTTCACACCAATTCTTTCATCTCCAAACAAAGAATTGTAGAACAAAAAAAAAAAACACTAGGAACATTGCCAGTTCAATCTGCTGTAACCACCAATCACCCAGCTTGACAGCCCTGGGACTACATGTTCGAAGCTCCTAAATGAATTTTTGAGGGGAAAAAAAGGTCCTTTTTCAGCATGAGGGGGTAAGTATTCTATGATGTACGCATGACCAAAAAAATGATGTGTGGTATTCCTTCAGTTAACCCCAAGAGAAAATAATTAATAAATATATTATTATTATTATTATTACTATTATAGCATCAACAACAACAACAACAACAATGTTGAGAATGCCCAAATTGGAAAGGTCGAGTGAACTAAGATAACGATCTGCAGTAAGGCAACACTTGCATAACCAGCTTCAGGATTGACAAATTCCAATTCACAAGTATAACAACACTTTTTTTGTGATAAAATTCACATAAAGCAAATCAAAATTGATAAACAAGACTTTTCTTATTCAAAAAAAGTTACAATTAAATTAAATGCAAGAGTTACCGCCATGACAAACAATTAAGTAACAAGCTCTCAGCAGTGCGTAATCAAAGCTAAAACTCAAATATTACCTCTCTTATCGTCAGAATTCCCATAATCACCACCAGATTTGACCTCCTCAAATTTCTCACTCCTTACATTCTCTGAAGAATTTCCATTGGAAGTATGATTTTCTACACTATAATTAACCCCTTCTTTCACTGCCTCGCCGCCACCACCAGTCCTGTACCCTCTATTGAAACCGGCACTCGAAGATCTCTTAAAATCCTTTCCTCCAACTTTACCCTGATCATGATAGAACTTATGTTGATGATGATGATGGTTCTGCTGCTGTTGTTGCTGCTGTCTCCTCAGTACAGCTTGCTGCAATGCAGCAACAACCTCCCCCACTGAAAAATACTGCTGCATATGCAGCACAGGATTCCAATTACACCTCCTCTGCTGTATACACCCAACAACTAAATCATACTCACCAGGTTCCCCAACAGCACGCAGGTGGTGGCAGAGGGAGTCAATAATCGCATTGGCAGCGGCAAATTCCCCCCTCAGCCACGAGATAAACCCGTCACGCTCGTCAACCGGGAACCACTGGTGCCTTTGGGGGTGGTGCTGGTGGATCTCATTTCCGGCAGAAGCAGCACCACCGCCAGCACCAGCAGGAAACTGCATTTTGTCCGGTATAACCACATTTCCTGGTGGCATTGCCATTTTTACAATCTAATTACTAAAAAAATCCCAAAAGTATCACATATAAAACACGTCACTAACAAGTCCTAGATCTAAATCAACCATAGGTAGTTAATTAATTCAATACTCATGAATTTCATAATCTGATATTATTTTAAGCAGATCACCTGATATTAAGCACTAAAATTCAATAATAAGTAGCACTAAATATCAGGATTAGACCAGCTAAGCAGATTTGCAAGTTTGAGGTAGTGAATTTCTAACGAAAAATAAATGCACGGATCTGAGATAATACATATACACACAGTGCGTGTTTAAGTAGGTTAAAAAAGGGTGTTTATAGGTAGCGAGTGGAGTGATAATAAAAGAAGAGATGTTCAAGATCTAGGGTTTTGGTCTATGAGTTTGGGCTATGGAAATGGCTTATAGAGTACGCATCATCATTGTCACGTCAGAGAATTCTTTATTTTCTACTATGGTCCTAAATTGTGGCTGATAAGAGAAGAAAATGCAAAACAAATAAGGTAATAGTACCATTTTCTACTATGGTCTCTTCATTGGAGTTTTGGGATACCAAACCCTACACCCTCCTCTCATTGAAGCCATGCTGCTTCTAGACCTTCGTTTTCAATACAAGGGGACATACCTAGGTGTCCACTTCTAGATGTTTGTAATTGCCTGAAAAACTGGTTTTCTAAGTTTTTTTTATATGTAAATCTATTAAAATTTTATTTTTTTATTTTTTAAAATTTTATTTTTGATATTATTATATTAAAAAATTTAAAAACATCCAAAAAATAACTTAAGATTGAGGTGGAGATTTTTTTAAAATGTTTTTTATTTAAAAATATATCAAAATATTGTTATTTTTGTTTTAAAAAATTTATTTTTGATATCAATTTATTAAAATAATTCAAAAACATAAAAACAAATAATTTTAAAAAATCAAGATTTTTCAAAAATACAATGAAGCCAATAAAACAAACAATGTTTAGCAAAAACTAATTGGAGAGATATTTTTACAACATATTATGGGTGAAATAATTGTTCAAACAGTGATTTCATGGTTTTGCAATTCCACTTGAAAAACTTAAAAATAGAAATTGGGGTATTTTTATCTTTTTACAGCTTTTACTAATTATTATTTAATTAATTAGAGAAAGATAAAATGACTAAAATACTAGCAGAGTAAAAAAAATTAAAACTAAAGTCTAGAAATACTTTTGTATTTTTACAATGGTTTTCACATAATTATCATAACAAATGAGAGGCAATTTGATTTTTCATTAATCTTAAAATATAAAAAAATATAAAAAAATAACAAAATTATTCATGAAAACCAAAACTTTAAAGCTAGTATAAGGAACTTTTCCATCTTTTTCTTAAAGGTTTTTGGTTATTACATAGGTGTTCTCCAGCTATCAAAAATATTCTTCTGCCATGGTAATGGAAGAGCCTTTATGTCCTTTTTTTTAAGATGATCTGTGTTAACATTACATGGCCAGTTTGTTGTCATTGAGTTTTGGAATCTCAAATTCAACCCTCAATTTTTTTATTTATAATTTTTATTCATAATTATTTTATAAAAATTTTATTTATTTTTAATTTTATTCATCAATTCCAATTTCAAATATATTATTTTTTTCAAGTTGGTCCTTATTCTTTTAATTTTTAATTTTTTTTCTTGAATTTTTTGTTAAAGTTTTATTGGTTTTCAATTTTATTCTTAAATTCAAATTTATGGTATTATATTTTTCAATTTGATCCTTTTTTTTATTTCTAATTTTTTTTCTTAATCTTTTTGTAAAAATTTAATTTATTTTTAATTTCATTATTCAATCCAAGCTTATGGTATATTATTTTTATTAATTTGGTCCTCATTTTTTTTCTCTTTTGCTAAAGTGATTTTTCTTTTTAATTTCACCATTCACTAAAACAATTAATTTTATTTTTATGTCATTTTCGATCCTCATTGTTTTAGGTTTTTTTTATTCTCTCGTTAAATTTATTTTTACTTTTAATTTCATAATTCAATCTGGTATAAATTTTATTTTGTATTTCAATTTTGATCATCATTTTTTTAATTATTATTTTATTAATCCTTCTATATAATTGAAAATATTTTTTAGAAATCAAGCTTTATGATTTTTTTCATATAACATACTATAGGTCTAATAACCCAAGTTATTAGTTTAAAAGTTAACACTAGTTAATATTTTTTATTAAAAAAATATGCTTTATAATTTTTTTATTTTTTTCATCTGGATATTTAAATCTCATGATTTACATCGTGAATTTGGCATGATATCCTGGACTGATTTGGTCTTGATTACTAGTATTATAGGTTTGTTATACTAACTCAAAATAACCAATGTTGTTTTAAAATCTTTTTTATTTCATTTCATTCCTTTGTATTTAATAAGTTAAGAATTAAGATGCATCGTTTATACTCTTTTAAAAAAAACTATCAAGTTATCTTAATCATTTTTTTAAAAAAAATTTAATTTACTTACAATTATTTTTTAATTAAAATAAATTTAATTTATTTAATCAAGTTTGATCCGACCAAGCTGAAAATTTTTCATTTTTAAAAAATATACTCACATCACCCCCACATTATTTTTTATAAGAAAAATAGTTCAACCTCATAATGAAGCATTGCTACCTAGCTTAGCTGGTTACTACATTTTCTACCCACACTGCACTAGGGGTTGGATCATATTTTTTTCTAAATAAAAAAAAT